TCTACCTATTCCACGTTGCTTAATTTCTAATCTTGCTTGAACTTCTGATCTCATGCACAAGACCGCATTGCCGAACGTCAGCCCAGGTACCATGACCCCTTTTCATATTCCTCTCACAACATCATACCTATTGTAATTCCACAGTGCCCTATTTTTCATCACTGCTTCATTCCTTTTACCTTACGTATATTTACGTCACGTATATTTCGTGTTCCCTCAGGTACTCGGTCCCATTGCTTATCCATACGCCCAGATATTTGTATTTATCTGTTATCTCTAGCGTGACGTCCTGTATCCTGAGCTCACTACCTTCGTTGTCATTGAAAATCATGACTGCTGATTTTTCCTTACTTAATCTAAAATCTAACCTATCTCCCTCATTCCCGCAGATGTCCATCAATCTCTGCAAATCTTCCTTGTTGTTGGCCATTAGCACTATATCATCTGAGTAATTAATGCTGGTAGTGCCTGATCAATAAGTTTTCCTTGTTTGACTAAAGAGAGGTTGAAGCCCAGCCCACTTCCCTCTAATTTTGCCTCTAATACTTGTAGCTACATTATGAATAATAAAGGTGACAGGGGGCACCCCTGCCTAAGCCCCCGTTTTACCGCTGCAGGCTTGGATACCTGTTTTCCCCACTTTATAACTACCTTGTTACCTTTATAGATACCCTTTAAAAGATTAGTGACTACATGTTCCACGCCTAGTGCGTCCAGTATTCCCCACAATTACTCTTGAACCACGCTATCGTACGCTCCCTTGATATCCAAGAATGCTAGCCACAGGGGCCTGTGTTCCTTTCCTGCTATTTCGATGCACTGCGTCAGTGAGAACAGATTGTCTTCCAACCTCCTGTGTTTCCGAAACCCATTCTGCAGTTCCCCCAGCACCCCCTCATCTTCTATCCATGCCTGCAGTCTTTCCTTTATAGTCTGCATCGCCAGCCTGTAGACCACTGATGTCACTGTTATAGGACGGTAGTTGTTTATGTCAGCTTTGTCCCCCTTTCCTTTATAGATCATGCTCATCATGCTAAGTTTCCATCCATAGGGAACTTCACCATCGATTATTATTTTGCTCACTGCCTCTCTCAAAGCCTGCTTAGACTTTGAACCTGATGTCTTTATCAGCCTAATTGGAATGCCATCTGGGCCTGTTGATGTACTACTAGGAACCCTTTTTTCAGCCCTTTCCCACTCTCGTTGTGAAAATGGAGCCATTGCACCACTTGATTCGTCCTTGTCTATTGTGGTGCATAAAGTACTTCTTTGTTGAAATTTTTCTGTCACACTTGCTCTTATATATTCAATAGCTTCGTTCCCTTCTAGCCTAGCACCTTGAGCTGTAGTTATAAAACTCTGCTCTAGACTCGTCTCATTTCTTAGGCAGTTTAGATGGTTCCAAAATTTCACAGCTGCCTTTTTATCTTTTTTATGTACTTCTGCCAGCCACTGAGCTCCCTTTCTTCTAATCTTTTCATTGATCAGAAGAGATGCAGCCCTTCTACAGCTTAGAAAGGTTTCCCATTTTCTTTCAACATTATCCGTCGGTTCACCCCGCTACTTAGCATGTCTGTGTTCCCTAGAGGCTTCCTGACGTTTTGCTATGGCTCTCTTAACTTCCTCATCCCACCAACTTTTCGGTTTGTGTATTCTTTTCCGAGGTGACTTGTTACGCGCCTTAGCAAGCTCTAGCTCAAAGAGTCTAATTAGATTCATGTATGTCCACACTGTCTTATTATCCTCCGTGATTACTTTCTCAATTTGTTTAGTGGCTATTTCAATTTGCCTTTCTGAATAAAAATTTTCCTGTAGTTGCTCATCTTGTCTCCTTCCAACTTTCACTGCTCTTCCAAAACTTAGCTTGATACGTTTGTGATCACTACCCAGACTTTTGGAGCCACCTTCATCTATGTGCTATCCCCTGAGCTTATCATACATCCTATGTGACATCAGTGCATAATCTATCGTCGACTGCAGCCTTCCTACCTCCCATGTTATTTGCCCTTCACACTTCTCGGTACTGTTGCAAATGATCAAATCAAGCCTTTCACACATATTCATGATCATTTTGCCTGTCGGCTCGGTACACCCATCTATATCTTCTATGTGCGCATTCATGTCTCCTAGTATAATTATCTCGCACTCTCTTCCTAACTCCTGAATGTCCTGTGATATACACTCTACTATTGCCTGGTTTTCCTCTCTGGCCTTTGCTCCCGTCCACAAGTACACGAAACCAAGGAGTGTCATTTGACCTGCCACTTTCCCTTTTAGCCATAAATGTTCCTCTCACTCCTGCTTGACCCTTTGCCAGTCTGTACTTTTATGAATGAATGCCCCAATACCACCCCCCTTTCTGCTGCCTTCTGTTCTATTACAATATTCCCACGCGTAGTCCGGATTGTTCGGAGGTTGTTCCATGTCCCTGAGATGTGTTCTACAAAACCGTATACCATCGGCCTCTCTTCCCTTAGCTGTTCTTCTATCTCTTCCCACTTCAGCCTGTTCCTACCACCCTGCATGTTAATGTACCCTATGTCTGAATGGGCTCGGCGCTAGTGGCTACGTCTATTTATGCCCCGGACTCTACCTATCTTAGACATTGGTGCCACTTTGGAATCGTGTCTGTCCATAACACCTGTCGAAGAGTCTCCCTGGTTGTTTTCCTCGTTACTAGCTATCCTGCACCCCGAAGGGCTCGCTTGCCCCCCAAAAAAGCTACTGCGCGTCCTGCAAGTCGCCAACCCACCTCATGACCTAGTCGCCCATCGAAGTGAATTCTGTCTCGTTGAAAACCACCCCACCTATGCACCTCTCTGTTTATTTCCACCACCTCAAAGCCTTTCTCTCGACTCATCCGCCATATCTCTTGGTTTGCGTTGACAACCGCTCTTTGCAGGTTGCTATAACGCACCGGTACCTCCGGTATCGTGCATATCCATACCTGTACCTTAGGAGAAGTGGCGCGCATGTCATCGACGCCTTTCGCCAGTGTGGCTGCTAGTCCTGCTGTATCTTCATTTAAGACATCGTTTAAACCGCCTGAAATTATTACGAGGTTTCGTCTATCAGCTGTAGTTTTGAGTTTTGCGCTCGCTTGCCTCATGACTGCTTCAAGCTTGCGCCCTGGGAACGCCCCTACTGCAACCCTCTTGTCACCTCTTACCCTCTCTTTGATGGCTTCTGTGCATCGATTTAAATTCGAGTCACCGGCGATTATCACATGCTGTGACTTTTCAGCTGGAGTGTCCTGCACCTGAGGGCTACTTGCACCTGTGACGCCGGCTGCTTTGTCCCCTCCCAGCCCCACCACTACCTCGCTGAAGCTGGGCCTTGCGACAATTGAACCGGCTGAACCTGTTTTTTCCAAACTTGCTTGCTCTTCCTTCTCCACCGTTCTGGTTGCCGGTTCTCTACTGTTCTCTCCGTAGGCCGCTTCTTTGTTCAGCTTCGCTAGTGCTTCCTCGGTGGACTTCAGTCTTTCTCCCATTGCCCTCGTTTTCTCTTGCTCTGTCGCCAACGCAGTCTCGAGCTCATCGATTCTCACCAGCAGTTCACTTTGGGCAACCATCATTTTTTCCATTTTTTCCTCGACCTCACATTGCCTACACTTCGCGTCAGCCTCTTCTCCATCCGCTTCTACGCTTGAGTGCACTTTCAAACCCACTCCACATCCTGAACACTTTACAGTCTTTTTAACCATGTCTTTCTGACACCAATTGTCCCTATACTCGATAATTACTAAACTCGAGCCGTGCACTACGAAAAAAAAAAAGAAAGTCTAAGCTCTCCTACAAAAATTTGCGTGTTCAATGTACGCGCACCGCCCCCACGGGGTGGCAAAAGAAAAAGAGCAAAAAAAAATTCAAACACACACACACACACACTAACTAATAAATACCTGGTGACTGGACCCCGAAAAAGCCGTACCATAAAATTAGTGCTACGAAGATTTCAATCGCTGCTTTATAATTATAAGGACAAGCTCAAAACATGCAAAAACACTTATCTGCGCAGTCGATCCGGAGCGCTCGAAAAACACGTCCATCCACCGTGACAGCCCAAACAGGGCTGTCACCGTGGATGGACGTTTGCGGTGGTGTTGCTGTAAATACGTTTCCGCGCGGGGGCGCGCGCAAACGTATAAACGTTTGCGCGCGCCCCCGCGCGGCTCCTTTTCGGAGGTTTTAATGCGCTCAGTAGGCGCCGCTTGCCGCTCATCACACTTGTAATAGTGCTATGCACATGTTTTGAGTGTTCTTCCATCGTACCCGTCAATGTGTGCTGTGTAGCCTTCCATGATGCATTACCAGCTAGCCTACCAAGCCATTCACAGAAAAACAGCAACCGCAAGGACTATATCTTAATCTGTTCTCACCAGCTCCACTGTTTTTTGCTTAGATAATATGTGGGTGCAAAATGGGATCATTTTCTTTTTCCAGAAAAAAAAAACACTTGGTTCTCAAGGAGTACTTACTGCGAAGATTTTGTTTACATGAAGCCACAACCACCCCAAAGAGCTGTTTTCGAAACTAAGGGATGCCGCCTCACTGATACGTATGACGACTTCTTGATTTTTCTCAGCATATGATTAGAACCAAAGCAACAATTTGTCCTCAGCAAGAAGTCGGCGAGATGTCTGTGACGGACTGCGAAGTGGTTGGCCCAACCTTGCCAACCAACGTAGGGCCGCTCTTAGGGATCGATAGTGGTATCACGCTGACCGACGTTGGCACACAATGTAGGCCCGACCGCGTTGGCCGTAGAGTCCGAGTGCGTGCCGCACGCAGCTTGACCATGGCCCGACCTTACATGAGCGTTAATTTAGCGACGGCAGTAGGTCGGCTGCCAACGTTCCTTGCTCTGCATTTCTTTTTTTGTATTTTGCGCACATGACATTGGCTCATTGCACATTTAAGGCGAAATTAAACGCCTCTAAAGTCCGCACTTGTTAGCGTTTAAGTATGTAACACGCAATAAAAGAAAGATGAACGTAAGTTTCCTCACTGTATATGTTTATTTCGCAGTTTAATAAATGCATTATGTTTTCATGCCACATTGTTCACATGAAATGATTTGCAGCAGGCCTTAGTGCAACTCAACTCTACAGTCGATGAAGTGGCATTCCTGATAGAATGGTTCTCTCTTTCGGTGGATTTTCGTGCCCTCGGCCGTGAATAGGTATTCGGTGTACGATGTTTTACCACCGAGATGTGAGGCTTGCATCGTTCTGTTGCTGGAAAAAGCTGAAAAGAACCGAATGATTAATAATTAGAGAAAGGCAGACTATTTACAAAACTAGTTGCGACATAACTACATGCGAGTGTACACGCCCTATTCGGCAAAACAATTTTGTGGGTATATACACAAATCAGAAAAAAACTGTGCACTTATAATAATTATGCCAGGGCCTTGATATTCTGAAACGTGCTTGAAGCCCCAGAGCGCACAGTTTCTTCGTTATAAGTCGCTGGAAACAAACAGTACAACAAATAAATTAAGGACAACACATCTTACCTTTATGGCGGGCCAGGCAGATATTTTTCACTCGTAGTTTACAGCTCATTTGCGACTTATGTAACGTGAAAAAAATTACGTAGTATTTTATGAACCAAGCTGGCACCTCACTAGACTTCCTGTCAGCACAGCGAGACCAGTGCATCACGCTATCCACACTTTTTGCAGTCCTCTGTTGCATTGCTCCCTTATGGCAAAAAATAGCAATATTTTTCATGCTTTTGCAATAAAAACAAACAAAACCACAAAAGGCGTGTATTTACCAGTAAACACGATTAACAGCGACTAATACAGCAGCCGTTCACCTGACCAACTCTTTATCCATCAGCTAGAGGAGACTAACGGATCGGCACATCACTTGCACAGATCAAAGTGAATTTTTCCAAGAGACAAAACAGGCAGTTTGTCGGAAAACATTGCCATTTTCGAGTACGCATGAAATCGTCAGCAGCGAACGCGGTGGCTGCCTCTAGGGACATGGCAAAGGAAATGCTGCTCAATCAATGCCTGTGCGTCTTATGACTTTGCATGGTAACGCTTCGGCAACTCGTCGGCGCTGTGAGGGTTGTCTTCTTCCTAATGTCATCAGCCTAAAAAAAAGTAGAGGAAAGAAGCGGAAAGCCTGCATTCTTTTCCCTCCTTCAGACCTTCTTTCTCTGAGAGACGGGACCCATGGTGTATGCGTTTTGTCCCCAAAGCCGAACTACAGAACCCCAACTTTTTTCTAAGGAACGCACGTGCTGCTCTGTGTGGTGAGAAAACAAATACCATCGAAAAGAGGGGTCGTTCGGTATTCCTACTGGGAGCTTATGGGGCCGCAGGCCGGGCCAGTAGAACCATGCAGAAGTAAAAGTTTTTTTTTTATCTGTTTCTCCTCTTTTCGTGTTTCTCTGGTAGCATGCGACTGCTGAGTTGACCTTGGCTTGTAGGCGCTGCGCCGTGCTCCCAACCGGGTTGCAGAAATTTGTTTCTTTGTTTCCTTGGATAAATGGCAGGTACCCACTTTGGGGAATTGAGCGCTTTCTTCTTCCAATCACTACCACCACCACCTTGGCTTGTCTGTACTTGTCCCGTGCTTGTAGCTTATAAATGGCATGAATGCACTGTTTGAGTAAAATTTGTTTATGCTAGTGATCTATTATTTAAGTAATCAAATATCTGAGGGAGAAATGCACCATTTCTTCAGCCACTTTTCTTATAAGAATTCACTGTTAGCATAGTTGAACACACACACACACACACACACACACACACACACACACACACACACACACACACGCACGCACACACACGCACGCACACACATACACACACAAACATGTATATATAGCCGAGCTGTAGTGTGTGCCGGTGATGTGAAAGAGGAAGACGACGTCTCTGCGGTCTGAGGACTCCATCTTTTTTTCTGATTGCCTATCTCATTCTCACCCTGCAAATAGATCCAGTCAGTGTTTGTTCAACCATAACAATATATTTGTTGGCCCTCTTGGCGAATGATGGTGCTGCAATATTTCCTGCTTAAAAGTCCGATAGATCTCCAGTGCGGACTTCTTAATCATGCCAATTCTCCACATATCAGTCTCAGCTTCCTTCACCTTCTTCTTAACCGATAATTTTTTTTGGTTTGACCCCCTGCTCTTTTCTAAGCATTTACACATCAATCTTTTGCTTCGCTTCCTCCATTGTGTATCGACATTTCTTATATACAAGTGGCTAAAAACCTTCCTAGCCCAATGCTCCTCCCCTTTCTTTTCATCGCTTCTTAAAGTTTATTTTGCTGCTAGCTTTCCTGGCCTCGAATGATGTCCATCCCATATCACCTTTTACTCCCTGATTTGGTGTATTCCTGTGAGCTCCGAAAGCAAACCTACGTATTCCTCGTTGCTTAATTTCTAATCTTGCTAGATTCTCTGATCTCATGCAAAATACCGCATTGCCAAAAGTCAGACCAGGAACCAAGACATCTTTCCGAATTCCTCTAAACAAATCATGTCAATAGTAATTCCACAGTGCCCTACTTTTCATCACCGCTGCATTCCTGTTTGCTTTAGTCGTTACGTATATTACGTGTTCCCTTAGGTACTTGGTTCTATTATTTATCCATATGCCCATACATTTGTATTTATTCATTATCTCTAGCATGGCCTCCTATATCCTAAGCACACTACCTTCATTATCATTAAAAATCATGACTGCTGAATTTTTCTTACTGAATCTCAAATCTAACTTATCTACCTCATTTCTGCAGATGTTCATCAATCTATGCAAATCTTCCTTGGTCATTAGCACTATACCATCTGCGTACATCAAAACTGGAACTGCCTGTTCAATGAGTTATCCTTGTTTGATGAAAGAGAGGTTGAAGACAAGTCCACTCCCCTCTAATTTGGCCTCTAATCCTTGTAGGTACATCATGATTAACTAGGGTGACAGAGAACATGCCTACCTAAGCTCCCATTTTAACTCTGCAGGCTCGGATACCTCTTTTTCTCAATTTATAGCTAACTTGTTACTTTTACAGATATCCTTTAAGAGCTAAGTGACTACATCCTTCACACCTAGTGTGTCCAGTATTCCGCACAAGACCTCTTGAACCACGCTATCGTACGCTCTCTTGATATCTAAAAATGCTAGCCACGGGGTCCTGTGTTCCTTTTCTGCTATTTTGATGCACTACATCAGTGAGAACAGATTGTCTTCCAACCTTCATTGTTTTGGAAACCGATTCTGCAGTTCCCCCAGCACCCCTCATCCTCTATCCATGCCTGCAGTCTTTTCTTTATAATCTGCATTACCAGCCTGTAAACTACTGTTGTCATTGTTATAGAATGATAGTTGTTTATGTGAGCTTTGTCCCCCTTTCCTTTATAAATCATCATCATCCAGCTCAGTTTTCATCCATCAGGGACTTCACCATCGATTATTGTTTTAATTGCTGCCTCTCTCAAGGTCTGCCTAGACTTGGGACCTAATTCCTCTATCAGCATAATCGGGGTGCCGTCACGTAAAATGTGGCATTGAGCTAGTTGGTAATGCATTACTGAACTTCTCAGCTCAAAAACTAATAAATTTAGTTGAAAGCCTGCGCCTTCCTCGTCTTGTGTTACTTGTCCGAAGGGTGATTCCACGAGAGATCAACTCGGGTCCAAAAGTTGATATTTTAGATTTCACTGAGTATTTTATATTTCGTGCACCTCTCACCAGGTAGCCCGAAAGTCAACTTCGTTTTATGATTAACGACATAACTTACGAGAAAAAAAATATCAAACTTCACCAGTACGGAGGCACCAACTTCGTCACCTGTCATTTTCGAAAATTGCAGATGCTATAAAAAAAATATATTTTTGTTTCAAGGAAGATATCTTTTAGCTGAAATGTATGTCTAATAAAGAATGAATTCATACGGTTTCAAGTTTGCAGACCTTAAGAAAATAGCTTTTAAAGATGTCTAATTTTGCAACAGTTTAAAATAAGTTACGTATTCCCCATTTTTTTTCTCCAAAAATAATGCAAACAGCATTTTCAAACTTGGCGCGTTTTAAGGCTATAGTGTGTTCATTAGGTACATAAATTATTGCTGCCGTAGGGCAAATGAAAATTTTTATATATTGCCTCAAAGTTATCATATTGGCAAAAGTGTACTCCACTGAAACTTGAATAATAAAAAAACCTATCTTCGATTTTTCTTGAAATCTCGTAAATAGACAACCGAAGGCCATCATACAGTAATATAGAAAAACATGTTGCATTATTTTGTTTTTAGCGACAATATTCATGGTACAAATCAGAGCTTTTCGAGAATGCGCTGATAGGTTGAGAAATCTAGAAATCGGAACAGAAAAGCGGCAATAAGCTTCAAACGCAAGTAAACGTGACCGCATTTGGTGAAGCAAGGCTGTTTTAGCACTGTGACAAATACGTAGCCATGAAGGCGCATTTATGCTCCTGATAACACAGCACTAATGGAGGAAATCTTCGACACTGTAACTCAGCTGCGAAACATCTGTCTACGGTATATTTGCAGATAAACTCAAACATGAAAATGTTCCAACGCAAGTGTTGGGTCTCACTAGAAAAAGAATATGCGCTTGAAGTACCCTCACTGGTATTTTGGTAGTGACTGCGTGAAACAAGAGATGCGCTCAAAATGGCTGCATCTTTTGCAAATCACATTTAGCAGTACTGTGACGCTAACAAAACACGACCACGATCAATGCCCTCAGATGTGCTTAGCCAAACATGCCAAGAACGTATGCCTGGAACACGTGGCAACGATTTCCACTGGCTCTTCTTAAACTGACGAAATGTTTCTAGCTCGTCTGCATTTGCACACAGCAGCTTGACATTCTTGAGCTTCGCGCTCATTTGCGCCACCATTTGGGATGCTGACATAATCACAGCTGAGCTTGCCGCTCTGAGGTTGTAGAGCGTAGCTTGATGCTTTAGTAGGCCACCAACGCCGTCACAAGAGTTCTTGCCATGTTTTGTGGCCGAAAAAATCCACTTTGTTGATATATGATCTTTCTGACATAACTCGAACAACTGGTACTTGTTTTTGAAGTGACTGCATGCATTATCAGAAACATAAGTAACATGCGTGTCAGGCTTAAGATGTTCTTTCATATAGTTGTGGATTATTTGTAGAGCAAAACAGGAGTGTGCAGCATCATGGCATGCTGTCATCACTGATGATGGCAAAACTTTGAATTGATTGCTTCCTTGTGACGAC